CACCGCCACCGATGGAGGAAACAGAAGTGTGAGCGCTAACTAAACTAGCATCAGCAGCCAAGTACTGCCTGTGTGTTCTGGACACTTCCACCCCGTCAGAGTGCTGCCCCGGGGTGGAAGTGGCCGGAACGTGCACAAGCCCACCGGTCAATTAGGCTGAAATCCAGTGATGTGTAGTGTTCTAACAATACAGTAGTTATTATAACAACTATGAACTTCCAGCTTCAAGCCCTCCTTGTATCTGGACCTCCGTCTTGACAATCCGACAGCCTTGATATCTGACATAGAAGAAGGTTTTACATTTAGTGTCGGATTATCGAGTCATGACTGTATCACAATACTCAAGTAACTTCATTAGTTTCCCAAGTTTTGGATTACATCAACACCACCAATGTCTGTTACGTCTGCACATGTGCATGACAGGAACATGAACATTCAGGTTCAGGAGGTGTGTAACTGTGATTTTCAAAGTAAGAGCTTATTTTTAATCCATTTCTAACAGTAATTTAATTTCTTCGTGATATGGATTAACTGAATCTTTAAATAGCCGACAGCATCTGTTTACTTTTATTTCCTTAACATTAAAAATTCGCTAAGATTCCTCTTTAATGATAATTTATCGAACTGCTGCAACTTGTGGTAAATGTGTTTTTATTGTTTCTAGGCTCATATTTTGGTGGTGATTTGGCACAAGAATGTCGCCGCTGCACACATCACGCTATGAGAGATCTCTGTAACAAAACACTCGACGTGACAATTAAATATTTTGGACTTCAGCAGCTTTAACAGTGAGACTCTGTGTCACTTAACGCCTGCACGTCGGCGATAATCTATAATTAAGTACTGCGAAGGAAATTGTTAATTAAACGCTTTGTCATTGCTCATGTAACGCTCATGCAGCCGTACCTGGACCGTGGCTCACCTCCGTGACCTTTGCCAGCAGCTCAGCCATTCACAAACCTCATTAGGCGTCAGGAAAACGCTGAGCCTCGGCGCTTTGCACGCAGCAGCAATGGCTCTCTGTCAACTCTGCACCACTCGTGCAAGGACGAGCGTGAGATAAAGACGGTGTGCGTTAGAGGCCCCCCGGGAGGTCGGACGCTCGTCAAGGAGGCTGTGTTGGCTAGCGGCTAAAGATAATGTATAACGTTCACTCTGCTAACCTTCGAAACTGTCTGCTGGATGTTAGTTCTCTTATTCTTTTCAGATCATTTGTTTGATTGGTCGTGTGATCTGCAGATTCTGGATTAAACTCAGATAATTTCCTCCACAGTCGCTTTTAGTTAATGAAGTTACTGCTGTTGTTCCACCAACTTCTCCTACTTCTGTTTAAGCCTGGACTGCATTTGGTGCAGTCGAGTTGTATTTTGACAGACATTTTAATCTAGGACCTGCAAGGTGGCTCAGTGGTTAGCACCGTCGCCTCGCAGGTAGAAGGTCGTCGGTTGGCGTCCCGGTGAGGACACCCAGGATCTTTCTCTCCATGTTCTCCCCGTGCAGCGTGGGTTCTCTCCAGGTTCTCCGGCTTCCTCCCACAGTCCAGAAACATGTTGAGGTTAATTGGTGATTGTAAATTGTCCGTAGGTGTGAATGTGAGTGTGCTTGGTTGTCTGTCTCTAAGTGTAGCCCTGTGATAGACTGGTTACCTGTCCAGGTGAACCTGCCTTCACCCTGAGTCAGCTGGGATAGATTCCAGCCCCCCATGACCATAGTGAGGATGAAGGTGTGTAGATGATGGATGGATGGATGTTAATCTAGAATAGGTGCTCATGGACCTGCGTTGCAGCGTCTGAAACACAAGTGTTGTCCAAAAACAACCACCTCTAGCCTGGTCCTTTATCCGTCTTTAACTGCTGAACACTCCAGATGTGTTGCTGATGTGTTTGCATGTTTTTGTTCTGCAACTTTAACCAGAGTTCAATTACCTTTATTCCGCGTCCTAATTACATAACGCCGTTCCATGACGTCTGCGGAGCGTCATTAGCAGTCTGCACGTCTTCCACCCCCCCTGCATCTCTGTCTGCTCCCTGCCACGTAACCCAAACTATTTTGGGAGTTGTCATTCATACCTGTGAGCGAGTGCTGACAATAACAATCAGGGAGTATTTTTAGCGATCAGACGTTTTTACCACCAAAATGACAACCGGGGCGGCTAAAGCGTCTCTTCGTCTGCTATCCGAGGCGGTTCAGCGCTCCGTCTCAGGACTTTAACGTTCACGTTCTTCCAGATGTTGCTGCGTTTGGTGTTGTAGGAGGCAAAAATGGCAGAGTTGTGTGGAAGTCTGTTTGTATCAACCACTGTGAAAGCTGGAGAGTTTGTGCTTTATACTTGATTTGAATGCTTTAAAAGATCCTGCTCGGCCTTTATCAGCAACCTGAATCCAGATGTTTGTGAGAGAACAAGCGAGTGGAGAAACGTGTGATTTAACTCGGACGACGTCTTACCCTGCTGATGGAGAAGACGAAGCCGGGCTGGCCGGAGCACACGCCCATGAAGCAGAAGCGTAGCTGCCAGTAGAACCAGTGCTCGCAGATGAAGGTGATGAGCGAGAGGGCCATGGCGGCGCCCAGCATGTAGAAGACGCCGGCCATGTTGTCCACGTCCAGCTGGCTGGACATCACCTCGTTCTTCTCGTGGTGGCAGATCCCGGTCAGCCACAGGGACTCCAGCTCCTCCATCTCACCTGGAGGAGGAAATATAACGGGTGGGGGGAGGAAGGACGAAGGGAGGGAGACGGTGGACGGATGGAGGGAGAAACAGATGGTAGGGAAGGAGGTGGAAAGAGATGGATGGAGGGGAAACATGGACGGACAGGAGAAGGAGCCAGATGACGACATGCAGAGAAGTGTTTTTATAATTCGTACGGGAATTGAAATAATAATAAAAAAAAAAAGGGGGGGGTTTGTGAAAAAGTGGATATAAAATGTAGAGAGGAGGGATATGATGTAACAACAGGACGGGTGTTGGAGGACGCCAGGGATGGAGGGAGTGATGCAACAGAAGAAGAAGAAGAGAGGAGGGAAGATGGTGGAGGGGGAGGCAGAGGGGGGTCAGAAGTGAAATAAAGCCTCTGCAGTCGGAACAACAGTCACGTGTTAATTACATCCATCTCGCTGCGTCCTGCAAACAATCGCCGGCTCCCAGAGCTTCTGGTCGCCATTTGTGGGTCACCTTCTGTTTCATCGGAGCTGCTCTCCATCGTGGCGTCGGTTAATTAATCATACATTCAGCCGCCGTCGCTGCACGTCAGCGCGGCTCCGGCGGCCTCCGAGCATCTCGGCGGCATACAAAGTCAGCAAGAGGCACGAAGGGAAATGCAGCCGCCGCTTAGAGCCGCTGATAAACACTCTGCAGCAGCTCTAACCTCTCACTGGGGCGACCTACCAGGGGTTAATCAGCTTTATGCCACTTTAAGTTTTTTGTTCTTATCCTTGAAGATGCAGGTTTGTTTGGTTGCTGACTGGACAGCGAGCGAGAGGAGGCAACAAGTGTCATGGATCCAGAATAAGTGTTTGCTCAGAGCTCGTATGAAGGTCCAACACTGTGAAAAATGACTGTCAATGAAGGAAAACCATCACTGCTAAGGAAGAACAATTATGTTTTAGATTAACACGTGTGTTTTCTACACTACATGCCTACAAACACAGAGACTTTATTCAACTATATTACAGTACATACAGCAGATGTTCAACCTGCCGTCGTGGCTTCAGGAGTTAAACTGAGTTATCTGAAAAGTGCACGACTTTGGCTGCCTCTCGCTATAAATGTAAAACTAAACTGTACACCTACTCAGATCACTAACAGCTCATCAGCATTCATGAATAAAAATTAAAAAGTTGTCTTTTAATTAAACATATGTGAAAAAGTTGTACGTTGGAGTTTGTTCGTCTAAATGTTCACCACAGGTTTTATATCAGAGCGTCAGCACGACTGAAAACCTTCTTCTATCACAAAGTCTTTGTCTTAATTCATTTTATTCATGTTATTTTATTTTGTTCTTGTACGTTTGACTTTGTTCTTTAGACATTTATGTCCGCCTGTTGTTATTTTAAATCCTTTGCATTGTGGCTATTGTGTTTATTTCTTTATTTATGTGCTGCTTGTTTGCTTTTATCCCCTTTGTTTGAATGTCTGCTTCATGCAGCGCCTGGAAACTTATTTAGGAAAGGTTCTGTATACATTACATTATTATTATTATCATTATTGTATGATATATGTTATATAATAATAATAATAATAATAATAATAATAATAATAATAATAATAATAATAACAATAATTGGCCATATCAGTCGAGTCCCACATGTACAGTGGCTCAGTTCTCGAAGGCGACTGAGGGAAATTTATCCATCTTAAATTTTATTATTTACTCTTGGTCCCTTTTTGCTGTGGCGCATCAAAAAATCGGTCGATAACAAAAGCAAGATGCATCTTAGTTTTTGGATGCTCAGTGCAGCCAATGATTTTCCTCGAAGGTCCTCACTCACATGACAGCATTTAGTTCAGGAATTAGAGAGCTTTAACCTAATGTACTTCTAATTTTACAGCTTTGTGATCTCACAGTATTCGACGTTACAAAGATTCTAAACATACGACTTCATCCAGCAGCCGATTAGCTTAGCTTAGCATAATGACAGAAAACTGGTGGAAGCAGCCATCATGACTGAGGTCAAAGCAGCCAAACAGGCCACCTCAGAATCTGGATTAACACGTCTGGTTTGGTCCATTTTCAGCGGTAATGAGTCAATCGAGGAATAAAATAAAGTACAGGACACTTGAAGATCCAACGTAGAGAACTCAGCTCCAGAGGGGAGAACGTGCTCACGGTTTATTTGCTCCTCGTCTATTTTTTCGTCTGACTTTCTACAATCCAGTAACTGACAGCAAGCTTTGGAATCAGAAGTCATATGAAAAGTTTAAAAAAAGTGATATTTAAGACGGAGGAAGACTGTTTCATCATCATCGGCGTCTCTGGGATGACGCAACAGGTCTTTCACTGGTTTCAAGGGCAAAAGTCATCAAACTCCACCGACTGGCTGGAAAAAAAAAAACTTTTCACTCAGCAGTGAATCAGAAAAATCCCAATCAAACCCGCAGTTTTATTTTAAGCACAGCTGTGGTATATTTTTCGCTCGGGCCTGCGTCAAACCAAACTTGGTTCCAAGCCTTCGCACCAGGCTGCTGGCGCCCGGCGCGTGAGTCCGACCGCTTTCTAGGCCACCGGGAGGGGAGTGGATGGCGAGGCGTGGCAAAGTGACATTGAAACCCTGAGAGGGGCCAGACGGGACCGATGCTGCTGCTGCTGCTTGGTTCCTGTGTTCACGCTGCTCCAGTGGACCGACGCCGACCCACATCCACACCATCAGCCTCACAGAAGTTCAACAGATCAATCAGTCCAATAGATAATCAATACGTGAGAAACAATAGAGAACACCGAGTCGTATGTAGGCTGATATAAATAAACCTGTCTCATAAATAATCAGAATCTCTACATTCTCTCACACACACACACACACACACACACACACACACACACACACACACACAGGCAGTCTCATTTTCACAGGGCTGACCCACATTCACATTCAGACACACACGGTGTCGAAATACACTAGGAGCGATGCTGGCACCCCTAACTGGGACGCACTATAGTGGGCCCCGGAGGGCCCTCGGTTCAGGATGCTCACAACACGCTGGATCGGACCCAAATAAACACACACACATGAACCTACACACACTTCCCGGTCCGCGGCGAGCCGTATATCAAAACGGGGGCATTGTGAAAGGAGAGCGTTGAAGTCGATAAACTTGGCGAGCAGCTGTTGTCTGAGACGTTTTGATTTGTTTATGATGAAGAGTTTTTTTGTTTTTTTCCGCCTCCGAACCATAAAGCACGCGCAGGTTAGAAACAGGCATTCGGAACGCATTTCATTTCACTCGCCGCTCGTTGGGAGGCTCATTAAAGCTGCAGCTATGGCTGGAATGAAGCGTATTTCAAAAAGAACAAACCCCGGAGAGCTTGGACGGCCTCCCATAAAGAGCCGAGCATGACCATAAAGCACAGAGCCCCCACGGTGGAGCTAAATCTCAACTTACGCTCCTCGTAGCGGCGCCTTACCTTTCTCTGTGAGAGCGGATGACGTCGGGAGCCAATTAGACACACAGATTCCTTATTATTACGGTTTTCTCCTCACTCTCACAGCTCTCATCCTGAACAGATGGGAGTGGGCGAAATCTTGCTGTCGGGGAGACCTTCTTCTCTCTCCGTGGCTCCCAGATTCGAAACATTCATGAAAATACTGTATTTCACACGGCGGTCTAGACTGTAAGTGTTCCTACACGCTTCCAGGGTTTCTTGCTTCTGCACATTCAATCAGGAAGAGAATCTAAGTGTGCACCTCCAGCAGAGAAAACACCAACCTGACATACAGAATACGTCTGCTAGCTCGGTTTTGTTGAGGACGTTTGGCTACTGCTCGGTCACCGACCTGCCCGATCGTCGCTGTAAGGTATAAAGCTCTAATTCCTACTGGATGTTAAAGAGAAGCCCGTTGGTTTCTAGACTAAAGCAGCAGAGAGGAGCTGAAGAGGAGGCGAGAATCTGTTGCAGGAGGAGGCAGAGTTGTTGTTTTATTTCCTTTTGCATTTCTGCACAGAGACGGCCCAGAATAAAAAACCGCAAGAGTTCAAAGGCCTCAGTTTTTGTGTGTTTTTAGTCAGCAGAGGTGCACACACACACACACACACACACACACACACACACACACACACACACANTGGCAAAATTAAGAAAAGAGACTACACAGCCTTCCTCCTGCCCTTCTTCTCCTCACCCGCTTCAAAGACAGTTCAGCTATAAGTCCACCTTCATTTATTCCAGGTGGAAGTCTTCCATCTAATGCACTGCTGAACCTGCAGTGGACTTTGTTTTACTGACTCACCTGATCTGGGTGAAGCCATGTGATTGGCTTAAATCTCCTGTCATGAGCTACGTCTTCTAAAGCCTGAAGCCATGAGGAGGATTTCATGAAAAACGGAGCTTCATGCTGTTTATTCCTCCCAGAAAAGACCACATGAGAAAAAATCACTCGGTTTCATCTTGGACAAATCCGGCATTAGAACACCCTAGTTTACCCTTTTTTTGGTTTGTTTTTGGCCATTTTGCCTTTATTGTATCAGACAGTCAAGAGAGAGAGAGACAGGAGAGTAGAGGAGAAGAATGAGGGAAGAACCTGCAGCAAAGGGCCATGAGTGGGATTCGAACCCATGACCGCTGCATCGGGGACTACAGCCCTGTACATGAGTCACCAGCTCAACCAGTTGAGCTATAGCGGCTAGTTTAGTCTTGTTAAAGTCATCTTTGGTCGCACACCGGTCTGAGCACCACGGCCACCAACAGCTGCAAGCACAGACGCTCTGCGGGGCGTTCAGGGAACATCGTAAATTGTAGCGTCTATGATTAGAAAATGTTGGTCATATGTTTTGCCTGTGACAAGGTGGGAAGTGCGAACAAATGAGAAAGCAAATGGCTACGTGGCTCTAACTCACCGATGGAAAACCAACCGGTTCTTAGATTGGAACCAACAAAGCACCGGAACTAGCACCTGGTTTTGGGGTATTAAACTCTCTGGACTCCTAATCCTGTTGTTTTATTTTACTTACATGAGCTCCATACGTACTTAT